TAGTATGCAAATGAATTTCACTCTGTATTTTAAATAAAAACCATAAAAATATTAATAAAAACTATCAATGATCTAAACTAAAGATTCAAACTACCATTTTAATTTAAAAATTAGAAGTTTTGTTGAAGATTGATACTTTGATACTTATTTTTTTTTTGTTTTTCAGGATACTTTTGATCCATTTTAGGGAATTTTGGTGATACATTTCTTTTGAACGCCGCGGCAACACTGATTATATCGTATTATATAAATATGTAATGAACATACATACATATGTGCATTGTACAGATGCAAATATTTTGGTTTCAGTTAAGTTACAGTTGGTTCGACTATTTACGCTCGCTACAAATCGCAGCTATTAAGTTTGAAATGATAAATTGTAATGGATCGTGGTGGTGACACCGTACTACAACAACGGGAATAACTAACTGCTCGTACATGCGATATTTATGTATGTACATACATTTGTTTGTACGTTTTGCCTTTTAAATAAGTGCTTACCCTGCTGGAAATTGAAATTTGCCAAAGCATGCTTGGTGTTTATAAAAATGTTTAATTTATTAGGAAACAATGAATCCATCGTAGTGAGAATTAGACAGCTGAAAAGCCTTAATTTACTTTATATAAATTCGGATTTGAAACTTGAAGTTGTAGGTGACACAGTATAATTTTTATAATGGGTTTTTATAAACTGTGCCCAATTTATATTCGACTTATTGAAAGTTAGGATTCACTTCCTTGTTTTAGCCAGATAATATTTGCCAAACGTTGATACTTCTATTCCTATGGGGTCTACTACCGCTCACCAACACATACTGAAAAACAGCAACGTATGAGCGGCAGTTGTGGTTGAATGACTATATTTCCTTCAAATAAATATGAATTGTAAAAATTGTCAGTTGAATTATTTGTATGGGTATCATAACTTTTATTGCTAAATTGTGTATTTTATTCATTTTATACGCAGACACACATTCATACATACCTTCATATGTATGTTCAAATGAATGTGTGCATTTAGTTTTAAAATGTTTACGGTCGTTTTTGAAAGTTGCAGTTTGTCGCTTGTCGACTATGTAAATTATTATTATGTATATTTAGATATTTGTTATTGAATTTATGACTCAAACTTTGTAAATTTTTTTAAATGTTGGCAAATGCAGAGTCTTGAGCATACAGAATTAAATACATATATGTATGTGTAATCACACTCCCCACTATGCAAAACATGAGAAATAGGCAACAATCGTTAATGGCAACAAATTGGCGACTCACCGATTATTGCCGTGGTGACAAATCGGCAACATAATTTCTTTCATGTCAATTACCAAAATTTCGAGTTAACAGTATTATCCAAAAGCGTCTAATTTATGTATACCAAAGAGAGGATTGAAAAAATAGGAAGCCCCATAGCGAAAGAAATAATTAATTCCGTTTCTAAGTTCCAATTTTGTATAAAAAAAATAAATGAAGTATTAAAAAGAGTAAAATGATTCCAACTATCGGCTAAAGCGATAAGAAAACGACTCGCCCAGGCTAGTTACCTTCGGAGAATAAATTTATTTCCGAGGGCGACATGTTTTCCTTTTGCCGGCCACTAAAACTGTTTGGTGGGTCCCTACGTCTACATGCCTAAACATGTGTGTGTCATTGTTTTGTTTTGCATATTTAGTTCATTAATTTTTTCCTAAGTCAATGAAATATGACAAATAAGTATATCAATCACATACCAAATTGTACGGAATGGCAGAAAGTGATTTACATATATACTGCTTTAACCTTTGCTTAAAGACCTCAAAAGTTTATCCTAATTATGGATGCCAATTTCAGATCACGGTGGGATGCCCAAATCTTGAATAGACTAATGGAAACTATAATAGTTGACTGATATAATACATACTCAACTCTTTATTACACATTTATTTGACCAAGTACTTTTAGATAGAATTTTCGATTCAGTAATGAGAGCCACAGAGGTGACTAGTAGTCGAGTTTTTTTTTTACCAGGAAGCACTCGCAGCACAAACACTTCCGAGAGTTTCTAAGAGATGATAAACTGCAGCAAGTAGAGCATCAACGAAACGGTAGTACGAGCTGTTCCGTATGTCTAGCTTGTTAGAGCTCTCATCGATTTCTTTCCATCCAAACATACATCATTAATTTGCTAACAGCAAAGGTAGCTAAATAGTCAGGCAATCGAAAAGACCAGCTCTAGGTGAGGGTTATCAAGAAAATTGCATTGTGTGTAGTGCAGAAGCTTACACCCAGTCCTTCATGCAAGAAATCTCTACATGGGAGTTTTAAAAAAGAAGAATAGGTGGTGGGATGCAAATTTGGCCAAAATACAGAAGTGGCCCACTGAGATGCCTCACTAACCGAAGTCACGAATGGAAGGGCATCTTAAGACATGTTTAAGGCATCATTCGGACCGATGTTTATCTTAAGGCTAAATTCTAGTGCTAATGTCAGTAATGTATAGGAGAAACATTTAGGGCTGATTTGTTGGCCTTTATTGATTTTTACGACAGGATGGGATGATGATGCATTTTAGACCGAAATTCAAGTTATTCCTTGTCAAGTTTAGTTTGGAGACAGGCATGAGCGGCAGATGCTTAGAACTACACCCTGAGGTAACCAAGAGTATGTACTCTTACGAGGGAACTGCTGGGTGTGTTATGTTAATTTTTCAATGCTATTTGTAATTTTGTTAAATAGTTTTCTCAGGACAATTTAATGTAAAATAATACAATGGGACAACCAATTAAGGACCTCAAAGAAATTATAACCAAAACTTTAAAACTATTTTGTTCTACTTCATATTGCTATTTAGCTATCTTACGTGTAACTTTGCGTATAAGTCGACTTGAAAAATAATTTTAGTCATCAGAGGCATATAGTCAAATTTAGCCACATATTCTATCGCAGCACATTTTGAATGTTGATTTTGAGTTAGTTGGCTAATCTGGCGAGTATTGACGATACTCCAATTAGCATTAAGTACATAAGTATATCCTCTTTTAAAACTACAACTCATAATTTCATACGAAAAGAGACTATGAGAAAACAAAATGGAATTAAGCTCTTAACTCGTCAGATAAACCGGGCGGAGTTCAAGAAAGTGGTATCGAAATTAGTCGAGTTATCGAATTTTGTTGAGTTATCAGATTTTAGTGATTTTGAAATTCATCGAATTATCGCATTATGTATCACATCAGCGAAATTTATCGACAAACTGTAAAGTATCGGTTCCATTCGAAGATTATCCGGTAAGTAATTATGTACCTTATATATATAAGTTAAATGACGTGCTAAATTAGAAACCCTCTCCCAGGCTCTTAAAAACTAGAAAAGCGGTCGAATGAATATGCTAGCGATGACAAGAGTTGTGATCATAAATAAGGAAAACCAGAAGCCATAAATAACGAAGTTTATAAACATAAGGATGAAAATAAATTTATCGACCACTTATTAACAATACCGGGTTTGGTGACAAGAAATTTAATAGTTAGATTAATATCTATCACTAAAAATTTTGATTCCTGTAGGAATAGTTATTGCGTTATCCTTATGAGATTTCGATATTCTGAAAAAAAATCGATATTAAAATTAAAGATATGCAATCTTACCTAACCCTTTCTGGGCTTTTCAGGGATCCGTTTAACTTTTACATATAAACGAGCGTAATACCGCCACCGATTTATATTTTCCATTTGGCATTTTTCCCATCATTGGGCAGAAAATGCTTAACATGTGTGTGTATGTGTGTGTAAACCAATTATTTATAATTTTACTTTTGTGATTTATCTTACATAGAAACTACACATTAAAAAGTGTTGGGAAGTTTAGCTTTAACAATAACATTCATATTTACAAATTAATTAGTTACTTAATCAATGAACTTTTTCGTACTATAATATCTATAATTTGTAAATTTCAGAAAAAATAAATAAATTTATGTACAGTGATTTGCCAACAGGATTGATATTTACATAGAAAAAATGCATAACAAATATATATACAAGTACATAGCACCAGAAAAGAAATAAAAATAAAAAATAAATTAAGAAAAGAGAATACACCAACCAATTAGGAAGCATAAAAACATAAAGAATAAATGCAAGAAAAAACGGAGTATAAGTAAAAACAAAGCAAAATGAAAAAATATACATAAAAAAAATTAAGTCGGAACAAATTAAATTAATTAATGTGACATATCTGAGTGCTTGCTTTGCCAAATCGATTAAATGCATTAACAAAAAGCTGAGAGATTCGATCAAATAATGTATGTACAATATTTTTTAAAATTCCCTTTATAATAATTAAATTCAAATAAAGAATGTTATTATAAATATAATAAGTTATGTCTTTACCAAGCGTTTTGCCACTTGAATTTATAATTTTTCAAAAAGTGGATTTAATCGATTTGGTAATCGAGGCACTCAACTAAGAAAAACCCATATTTTTTAAATTACTGAAACCAAATGCTTGAATTTATATGCAAATTTTCTCGTAAAAAATTAACTTATTTTATAAACTGCGATTTTTATTCTGAGTTTTTTAAGTGTTTCTGAAAAAAAGTCTGCGAACTAAGAGATTTTAAACAAAAAAATAAAATTATGTGAAACTAGTTAGAACGAATTGATGAAAATCAAGTAAATTTAAACAAAATAAATCAAAAATTATAAAGGCAATAAAAATATGAAAAACTCAACTAACATAAAACAGCGCTATGTACAATTAAGAAGAAGTCATTCGGTAAACTATTGAACTAATGAAAGGTCACGGTATAGTAGCTCCTAGGCATTACTCATACGCCGCGTTGTGTCACTGTACATTGTTAATCTTTTGTGTGTGTGTTTTTTTTGGCTTTTGGTATAACTTTAAAAAGCATCTATTTTAAAAATTATTGGAGTCTCTGTTGTTGTTTGTTATTTTGCTCTGTTATCTTTTTGTTGCCTATTTATATACGCAGCTAATATAATGGCAACTCTAGTAATTACCTGGTTGGCTGGCACAGCGTTCGGTTGTTGTTGATAATGAGATGGTGGTTGTTGCTGCTGCTGCTGCTGCTGCTGCAAGTGTTGTGGCTGATGCTGTTGCGCTGGTGGTTGTTGTTGCTGTTGCGAGCCCGATACAGGATAGTGACCAGATGTTGGTTGTGGCGTGAATTCCCTAACGACACGCTCTTCCGACACGGGTGGCCAAGCAACGCGCTTATAACCTATAAAGAGAGCGAAGGAGTGGAGTGAGAAATAAATTAGTTTAAAAATGTACGTATGTATGTGGTAAGAGCTTAGCGTGAACAATATGTATGTACGAGTATGTATGTACGCACAAAATGTGGCAGTGAACTTGTGACAAAACAAATGCTTAACGTAGTATGCATGAGGGGATTGTACATACTGTGGAATGTACGGCTGACAAATATACAAATATATGTATATGTATATATGCATGTATGTATGTATGCAAGATGGAATTGGAAATACTATATACAGATGTATGTACGAATATGAATACATATTTATTTGTGCGCATTATTTTTAATTTTGATTTTGTAAGCTATATTGCGAAGCATATTTCTATTTTAATTGGCAATTTTCGCAATTATCAACTATTTTATTCTTTATTAAATTTTACTTTTTGTTATGCCTTATTTTTATTTTTTCCCCAAAAACAATCTGATGAAGTCATTAAAACCATGGATGAAACTACTCTGGATTGTAACAAGTCTATGTTGGACAACGAACATCGCTGGAAAACACCGTAAAGGAAAGCCCGCCGCACAAGAATCGGCAGCGATGATAAAGAGCAGTACAAAGAAGAGCAAAAATCAAAGGCTGCTACGTATTTGAGCTAGTGAAATGAAAAAAGGGGGAGGAGAGCTATGTAACGAAAAAAAAGGAGACACCTGACTTGGGTATAATTTAAGAGCACGCAAAATGGACCATTATCGGAAAACTATTCTCGGCACACGATTCCATACCTAAAGAATCTGAGGTAATCCCTCCACCAGAGGAAATCCATCTTTCCGCACCGAATTAACTCCAAGTGGTGGCAAGCAAACTAAAAAAATATTAAATCACCAGGCCCAGATTGTGGACCAACCGAAGTGCTAAAAATTATAGCACCCATGCCACCGGAGGCTGTGTGTGGTCTACTAGTGAAGAGTAAGGGAGAGTGGACTCAAAACGGTGATCAAAAGTTAGTGGAGCTGTAGAATGTAGATGACCTGATTACAAGATCCAAACTTGATTGGGCCATAAAATCCTTTTCAACATATAGGTCACCCAGGCTCGATGGCGTTTATCCAGCCATGCTTCAAAAATCAGATCCAATCATTCTTGATTGGCTAGAACAGATCTTTTTCGCTTGCATT